AAAAGCTCGTTTGATGTCCCTTTTTTGCAAAAAATGTATTTTGAAATAGTGACTTTGATGGAAAATGTGTGATTAAAAACAGGGAAAAGTTTTAAATTTGTGTGTAATATTATTTTATCAAAGAATGTATGTTTAAAAATAAGAGAAAAAAATATGTTCTGAAATGTACGAGAATCAAACAATGCTTAAAATTTAAATATAACAATTATTTTTTTGAAATTGAACATATATAATTCTATTATAAGTATAAACCGTACTCACCAAATGACATTGTTGTCAAATTTTGTATAATTCAAACAAAGAGCACGAGTTCGAATATTTACAATTGAATTAAAAATCGCTAAAATCTAACATATATTAATTTGTTAAAGTAAATGTCACAATCCAACAAGTGCCTTGATGGTTAAGTTATCAATAGCACTATCAAAAGCTCATAGGTTCGATTCCCTCTGGCAGCCTCATTATTGCAACAATTTTTGCTACCAAAATTGTAGACCTAAAATTATTATACAATGAATTGGTTGGTATAAAATTCAAACCCAGGAGTTGTAAAATGTGTGTGCAAACTCTAACCAACTAAGCTAGGAGAAACGTTTTAAATGAAAAGGAATTATCAGAAATACAATGTAAAACTTTGTCTATTGTCAACCAAAAAAAAAGGGCTCCCGGCGGATCCAGCACGCGCGGCCGTGTGAGATCGCCAGGTGCTGGATTCGCCAATGGCTACCACACAGATGCTAAGCAACGTTCACATGACCACGATCACAAATACAAACTCGAATATAAAATAATTATAGATTAAAGTTCCATATATAAATAACTAATTGAATTAAGAGCCTGCATGAGTCCCATTTTTGTCTAAAATGTATTTTATTAGAGAATGTGTGGTTAAAAATAACGAAATTTTTTTAATTGGCTTGTAATATCATTTCTTTTAAGGAATGTGTGGTTGAAAACAAACGAGAAAAATGTATTTCAAAAATAATGTAGACTAAACAATGGCTAAAACAATTTTTTTCTCAAATTCATTTTCAACCACACGTTCTTACAATAAAGTATTATATATGTAAATCCAAAACTTTTTTCTACTTTAGAAAACCACTAATCCAAAATTTATTTTCCTCAAAAACCTCATTTAAATGGTTGTCGAGCATGGGCTAAACATTGTTCCAAAAATAGAAATAGTTTAAGCGCCTATTTGAGTCCAATTTTTGAATTAGAATGCATTCTGAAATAATAGAATAATGGAGAATGTATGGTTAAAAAATAAGAAAAAATTTTGAATTTACGTATAATATTATTTTGCCAACTTACAAAAATATCCCTAAAATTAACGGTCTTTTGAAAAATCATATGAAAAGTATTTTGAAATTAAAAAATATGGTATAAAATGTCACTTTTCACTTTTATTAAAAAGTAATATTTGTCACTAAAAAAAGTGACAGAAATTCAATAAAGTGGCAGAAATTTAAAAAATAATGACGAACACTAAAAAAAGTAACAAAAATTCAAAAAACCTTGACAAAACATCAATTAAAAGATTAGAATCAGTTCAATAAGGTGATAAAAATAAAAAAAAGTGACATAACCACGGTCCCTCCTCTCTCCGTTCACCGTCAAGTATCTTTAAGTCAATTCATCGATATAACACAAATGAAAATGCCAAGCATCTTTAAGTCAATTCATCGCTACCGCCATCTATCAACTCAACCAACCCATTAATCATATAAAATGTTTTTTGGAAGAAAATAGTGTTGTATAAAATTAAGTGTCACTTTCTAGTGATACGCACTTTTATTAAAAAAAAAATGCTTGTCACCCAAAAATACTGACAAAAAATTCAAAAAAGTGAAGAAAGAGTGACAAACATTATTGAAAAAATTGACAAGAACTCAAAAAAATGACAAATTCAAAAAAGTGACAAAATCTCAAAATAGTAACAAAACATTAATTAGACCCTTAGAACATGTCATTTTATGCAAATTCAACTACTCCACCACCACCACCACTCCACCTCCATCTTCATCAAGGCTAACCCTGCGGGTGAAAGGTCACTCAAAACATTATCTCAAACACCAACTTTTGGTTTCAATTGAGATTTCATAAAAAGATATACAGGCACCAAACGTGGCATTTGCATTTAGTAGCAATTTTATTGCACAAAGAATCTTTTGTTACAGAAATAAATTAGCACAAAAAGTCCATACCTTTCAATGATATTGTGTAAAACGTCCATACATTTCATTTTTTGACATTTTTGCCCTATTTCAACGTTTCATTGCAGAAAACATTACTTTCACCATTTTAATGTAAATGACAAAAATATCCTCCCATTTAAATAAAACCAAAAAAAATAAAAAAATAAAGAATAAATTACAATCTTACTTCTAAATATTTTAAAAAGTGCAAGTGAGTCCAAATAATTATTAAAATGCCTAATAGCATAAAATATCTTTACGTTTGGCCTATAGTGTGCAAAACATCCCTATGTTTTCAATTAGTGAAAATGACGTTTTTCGTAATGAAATGTAGAAATATTGATGAAAATGTAAAAAAATTGAAACATATGAACGTTTTCTGTAAGAAGTGTCAAACGTAGGTTTTGCTATTAGGCCTTATTAAAAAAAAAATCTCTCTTCATCTTTTCTTCTTCTTCAAACGGGTCAGCCACCTTAGAGGTCAAAAAACTCTAGCAAACCACTACCCAAACTGCTGGACCACCATACTACCGAAAAGCCCTCACTTTCCTCTACACATACCACCCAGCATCCAACCTTGAAACCTTCGTGCCAATAGATTTGTTCGGAATTGCAAGCCAAAATACCCAACTCATGAACGCCAATACTGGTGGCATCATCTATTTCGAAGAGATCCATGCCATTTCCATTATACCAATCGACTATACTCACCAAGTGCCTCTCTTCATGTTCTTAAAATATCAATAGATGGTTCAGTGATATGAAAGTTCGATGGTTTGGGCGATAGTTAGTCAGAGTTTTTTCACTTCTTACGTAGCAGTCCCATTTGGAGAAGAAGACGAGAGAGAGAGAGAGAGAGAGAGAGAGAGAGAGAGATTTGTTATTTTTAATATTTTCATCAGGTCTAGTAGTATAAAACGTCCATACGTTTGACACTTTTTGCGGGAAACGTCTCTATATTTCAATTTATTATTATTATTTTATTTTTTTTTATTTTTTTTTGCATTTTCATCCCTTTTTCCACATGTCATTGCTGAAAATGTCATTTTCATCATTTTGAAACGTAGGGACGTTTTGCACACTATAAACCAAACGTAGGAACGTTTTGTGATATTAGGCCTTTTAATAATTATTTGAACTCACTTGCATTTTTTAAAACATTTTGGAGTAATATTGTAATTAATCTTTATTTTTTTATTTTTTGGTTTTATTTAAATGGGGGGTATTTTGAAAATATCGTTTTCTGCAATGAAATATTGAAATAAGGGCAAAAAGTCAAAAAATGAAAAGTATGAACGTTTTACACCATAACATTAAAAAGTAAAGATCTTTTGTGCTAATTACCCTAGAAATAAGTACATAATGACAAGGAGACAACTGGATTTGAACTAGAGGCCTCATTGCAACTATTGTCCAATCAAGGGCCTGCTCTCCATCTCATTAACAATTAATTGACACTTTATCATGACGAAAAAAGATAACGCCAAGGTATTACTGTGGAGATTTTATGCAAAACTGAAATACTGAGTCATTAACATGACTCGATTAGGGGTAGAGCCGTGGGAACATTTTTATGAGAGGAAAGAAACAAAGGATCTACTACTACTACACGACACACATGATAATATATCTATTTTCCATCTTTCCAAATTTGCCAACCAAGGAAAAAAAAATCAAAAACTTTATCACGAAGATTTGAGCTCATCTCAAGTTTTTGGTTTAGAGCACAAGTTTTTACTTAATGCTTAAAGTTCATATCCACTCGTTTAACTCTCACCTCATATTAGCATACTAAAATGGACAAAAATGCCAATTTCTTTAGTTCAGATGCATAATTGGGTTTCACGATTTTCACCAATAACATATCTTTCCAAAAAAATTTCACACTACATTCAACATTCTTCTAAAGTCACAAATTAGATGTTAATCTGTACAGATCACATGAATTAAACAAAATTATTCGACATAAGCACAAAAATCAAATGAAACAAATGAGATTAAACATGGGTATAATCTAAACTTATTATGTCAGTACACGATTTTTTCTCCCCATCATCAGGTAACACAAATCAGATGTTAATCCGTACAGATCACATGAATTAAACAGAATTATTCGACATAAGCATAAAAATCAAATGAAACAAACCAGATTAAACATGGGTATAGTCTAAACTTATTATGTCACTACACGATTTTTTCTCCCCATCATCAGCTAACACAAAAATCATCATTCTTTTTTTTTTTAACACTACAAAAAATCAGTAATATCAAACCCTTCAATTAAAAAAAAGAAAAAGAAAGAAAGGAGATAGATAACACCAAAATCTATAATCAATTCCTCAGCACAAAATCATATGAAATCAAGAAGCACAGGATAACTAATCTCTAAATCACATTTTCAATCTTCCTAGTCTCCTCGTCTCCAATAAAACAGCACAACTGGCCCAAAATCAAGAAAACAAAAAGAGACAAAACGAGATAACAAGGGAGAGAAGAAGAATACATCAGAGAAGCAAAATGGAGATCTTGTAGAGGGAGTTTCGGCTAGATTTCTAGGTCCGATTTGGGGCATTTTAAGGTTTTGGGGTGTTCGAGCGTATTAATTACAGAGAAAGAATTTTAATTAGTTTTAGGGTAGTATTATGATTTGTTATTTTTGGAGGGTCGTAGATCTAGTTTTTAATATTATTTCATTGAAAAATATGTGATTGAAAAGAAGAGTTTGGAAAATTTTATTTTGTAAATAAGGAGGATTAAACCAAGGATAAAACTTAAAGAAGAATCCCATCAAGTCCACTGGATTGGATTATGTGATGGGTACGACCCGACCCAAGCCGCCCTTGGAGATGGAGGAGTAGTTTAGTTCTGTTCAGTCGGTTGAAGCCGTGCATTCAGCCATTTACCCTACCAGAATAAATCCGTAAAACCCTAATTTGTAAACCTCTCTCCCTGATCTCCATTTCTTCCCTGTTTTTGATTTCATTTGGAATTATATTGGCTTCTACTGTGATTTATGGATTCTCAGGATCCGTCTGCACCACCCCCACCGTTTCGTTCCCACCACCCTCAACAAACCCCAACCATCTATGCGGGTCACACTCACACTCACACTCAAACCCAACACCCCAACAACTCTTACCCCATTTCCAGCAACAATAGTTCTGCCACCACCACTGCAACTATGATGCAGCAACAAAATCTGTACCCTTTTAACACCATGGCTTCTGCCCCTGCGTCCAACCCACTGGATCATCACTTCTCAGATAAATTGGCTTCAGGTGGCAGTGGGGAGGCTGGAGGGTTCAGCATTGAGTCTGCCAGAAAGAAAAGGGGACGGCCCAGAAAGTACTCACCTGATAACACCATTGGGCTTGGTATGTCCCCTGATCCTGCCACCAGGATTTCCTCTGCTGTGGCCGTCACTGATTCTGGTGGTGGGACCCCATCGATTGAAACTTCTGCCAAGCGCCACCGCGGTAGGCCTCCCGGTTCCGGAAAGAGACAGTTGAATGCTCTAGGTTGTTGTCGATCACATGCTCTTTATTATCAATATGTACATGTATTTCATATGCAAGTGATTATGGTGTTGTAATAATGAAGCTCCTTTTCTTGTTGGTAGGAGAACCGGGAGTTGGATTTACACCACATGTTATTACCGTGAATGTGGGTGAGGTGAGTTTATAATGTTATTTTGATGATGTTGTATTAGTACATGTAAAAAGGGAAATTTGAAGTTCTATAGAAATGTTACGTGTTGCATTCCTTGGTATGGTTTCATTGCAATTACTACCCAGAGAATGTATGTTAGTTGTGGAGCCATACAGAATAATATTATTAATTGGAATAAGTTCAATAATTTTCTGTATGAAGTTAAATGGTCAATGATAAGAAGAACCCTACAAGATTAAAAGGTTAGTTCTTTGAGACAAGTATTGTTGTTGAGGGACAAGATGTCCATAAATTGACGTAGCGGAAACGACAATGCTAACATGGATGTGTCGGCATTACTAAAATGTAAAATGGATAAGAATCATGAGATAAAAAAGAGAGAAAATACACTAACAAGTGGAGGTGGCATCGATGGAGGATAAAATAAGTGAAGGGACTGCTACTAAAAGTAACACGATCTCAGTAGAAAATGAGTAAAGAGAGAAGGGAAGACCAATGCTAATTAAGCGGTTATGTTGCTAAGGATCTAGTAGCTTTGAATCTTTCAGTAGCTTAGCAAATAACTAAATTGAAACCAAAGCAAAAGGCAAAAAAGGATTGAATTAGCCTACCCAAAATCTATTGGGAAGAAGACTTGGTGCTTATTTGGAAGAAACTACAAGTTGCTGTAATTATAAATTGATAGAAATGAGTGTTAAATAAGTTGATAGTAGTAGTTGTGGGTCCTAAAAAATTTTTGGAGGAAGACTTTGCTTTGGAAGAAATTATTAGTTGGTTAAATTATAAATTGATAGAACATAAGTGGGTAGTAGTTATGAGTTTTAATGAATTTGTGGGTAAAATTAGAATTTGACTTTGACCTAATTGTCTGAAAATCTGCCCAAGCATCAACCCGAAAAATGCAAAGGATCAAGGATCGAAAAGTTGAACAGTCCAAGAGTCAGATCCACAGTGAACAGATAAATAAATATATTTATATACAAACAAATTTGGCAAAAATTACTTAATTTTCTAAATTAATTAATATGTTTAGAAAAAATGGTTTCTTTTGGATTACTAAAATATTTTTGTAGCATCTTAGTGGGTTAACAAAATAATAGTTTTTTGTCATAATAATAGTATTTACGTAATTAGATATGATGTCAACATAGTGTAAAATATGCAAATAGGTATGCAATTAAATACTTCCGAGTACGGGAGCTTCGCACCTTATTCCCATTTATTGTGACATGGGAAGTTTATTCATGGTAAAATTTTATAGAACTGGCGATCATTTCTTATGGATGCGTGAATATTTATGTAGTTGCTTCTTTTCCCCTTTTGGAAAGATATTAGGTTTCATAGCTTCTTTTTGATAAGCTTGGATATGCTTTGCTCATTTTCTCATGTGTATATTATTCCATAAAGCAAGTGATTTTGAAGGTTAAACTTATAGATTTACTAAACAATTCAGAAATGGGCTGTCATTATGGTCGTGACCTAGGATATAGGTTTATAGCACATTTGGTTGTTGGCTGTCGTTATGGTTGTGACCTAGGATATAGGTTTATAGCACATTTGGTTGTTCAATCACAAGACAATTCAGTGCCACAAATAACTTCATATGAAATGATAGATAGTGTGTTATAAAAGGCCAATTAGTGACATCCTTTTGGTACGTGATTGATAAGGTTTTTCTTAACTAGAAGTCTAAAATAAGAGTACTTGAATTGTAATTGACGGAAAAAGGTGACTGCAGCAAAGCTTTTGAGTTTTTTATGAAGTCATAATTGTACGTGCTTTATTGAGCGTCACTCCCTTTATGGGAGTCATTTTGTTTTAAGTAAATAATAAATTTTGCCTTTCGCCTGGGCCCAGCTCTGTCTCACAGATTTGCAAATGAGGATTATCTGTGAAGTTTTGCTTCTTATGATTATTTAATTAATAAGGCTATTTCATGAAGGCTTAGGAAAGTTGAAGAGTTTGAGTTTTAGGTAGCCTTTACTGTGGTCCAAGCTACTATGGCATCAATTAAGAGCAAGAGCTTGAATGTGGCAACTTTGAAAAAATTCCATAATAAAATGATGATGGAGCTTTGTGCAGCAACTAGAAGTTAAGCTTTCTGCCATGAAATTTGTGAATTCCAATTTAGTTTTTACCACTTCATTCGATCTTGTGTTTTATCTAGTGATGATCCATAAGGAATCAAATATTTTGCAATTGTATTCCACCATAAGTAGTTCCATAAAACATGACTTGTTTAACAACTGCTTATACAACTTGCTTTTCTAATTTTTGCATGCCTTCCAATCAGTAGGATCTATGTAACATTTCAATATTCCGACTAAACCTCTCTAATTCTATGAATAGATCATCTTTTGATCCTCGTCAATTATTGAAACTAAATACATATCACAATTGAATCTTGTGACATCCTTATCCTTTATTATGATTATTGTATCATCTTTTTCCCAAAATGACAAAAACACTTTTTGTTTGTAGGAATAGTGAACCAAAAGCCTTTAGCTTAAAAAATGGCTTCTCCAAAGTAATTGTATATGCATCTACTCTAAATAAAAGTTGAATTACTTGTATTAAATAACAAAAAAGAAAAAGGAAAAGAAAAAAAAAATGGTATAATAACACAAGTGCTTGTAAATACTAGTTGAAAGGATGGAATTTTGCCTCTTTCACCTGCCTGAGTAAATTTATTTGCAATGTATGTCCTATGTTAAATGCTTAGTTCATCGCATTTGAAAAAAAATATTGAAGTGTGACTTGTTTCATCTTGAATTACCTTTGTGAAAATGTCAAGTCTTCAAAGTGCTGGATTTGCAATTGTGGCCTAAATATGCTCCAAATCCTCCTACTTGTGAATATGGATTCATGGTGGGGGTATAACTCCACAAAAGAGGTTTCCTAAATTGTTGTCCCCATTGTTCCCTTGACCTACCCATTATATGTTTAGGAATTGATATTTAATTAACTCCATTCCATTATGTATCGATAAAGAAACAGGCGATAAATGTGGAAGATGGACCCACAACTCCACATTGAAACTAGCACTTGAGATTTTCCAAAACGTTGGTCTTCATATTCTACCATATATTATCCAGCAGAGAATTTCACGTGGGAAATCGAAAATAGGACATAAATGATGGCAACTTCTGGATTGAAATAGGAGTACACTGAGATGACTGGTAGCTCTTGTATTACTACAGGATTAATGTTTTTCCTTGTTATCATCTAAGGACTGTAGTTCAAAGTTCAAACTTGGTAGAAACAAATGAGATGATCTTATGTTGTCTCAAGTGATCTAATTTTAGTTAATGAAACTAGGAGCAATGTAAATCTAAAGTTAGAACGTTTGAGAAACACCTTTATTAGCGAAGGTATTAGGTTAAGTAGATTTAAGACGGAATCCATAATTTCCTTCCACTCATAATATTAGTTTGACGAAGAATTAAAGATGATGTTATGTGTGGGACTAAAGCTGGTCAGATGGACAGAGAGAAGTGTTATGGGGTTTATGTGATTGGAAAATACTTACCAAGTTAATAGGCAAGTTCTATAGAACAATTAATAGACTAGCTATGCTTCATAGGTGGCAAAAAGCCAACGTCGAGGTGCCAAACCTTCCCGTCGATGTGAGCTCTTGAGGAAGATTAGCCTGTTATCCCTAGAGTAACTTTTATTTGTTTAGCATTTGAGAAATTAACGAGCAAAGCTCTTATTTAATGGGAGTGATATGATTTTGAACCATGTAATATAGGTTGAGAGGGATAAGTAGACCAATATCAAGATGACTTGATATGATTGTAGATATTTAATCTCTTTGCACCTTTAAGTAGATACGACGTTAGATTAAACCAAGTGGCTAAAAGATTCTTGTAGCTGGCAGGTTTAGTATGTTTTCTATGTTCTTAAAATGGATGTACCAAAAGAAAATATATGTGAAAGTCTAAAAAGGAAGTGCCTATATTGCTTAACTCCGTGGAATGCAGGATTACGTATGACTGGGCCATGTTATATATGTAATACACTGGAATCAACTTAGTGTGCTATCATCTGAAAAAAAGTTCAGAATATGTGCTTGGAATGCTTTTCATTTGATAACTAATAAACTACAAAGTATTTATCAAGAGAACTACAATTAACGGTGGATCATTACTATTGTACAACAATCTAACATGGGAAATTTGATTGTCAAGAAATAAGTCACATAAAAAGAGATTGGAATGTCATACATAAGTATTGGTTCAAATTATGTGTACCACACATCCCCACCTTAAAGATGAAAAGCTGCTATGCTACCATTTTGTTTTCTTAAATCTTTTGTGCACTCAGTTGATATTACAGTCCTCGTTCGATCACTATTTATATTTTGAGGTATTAGAAGTACATTTTTAAAATTCGTAAATTACACTTGGTCTCTGTTCTGATTTAGGGTTTTAGTGAGACAAATACTAAGGAAGCCTCTTTTTGGTATTTGAATCTAAAAGGAAATGAAGTAGATTGGTTTTCATACATATTTAAGGGAGATGTTTGACAATGACATTCTACTACATTCGATATCTTTTCGTTTGTTTTTTGAGGTGACAAAGAGCTTGATAAACCAGCTTTTACTGTTTTGTTTTTCTTTTCCCCCACTAATTTAAGATATAAAATAAACCTTATGCATTAAGGAATGATCCATAATTTTCTCATTCCTTTTTTGCTTTTTGGCCCTCATCCTTCGCAGGATGTAGCTTCAGAGATCATGTCTTTCTCGCAGCAAGGACCACGTACTGTTTGCATTCTATCTGCTAATGGTGCCATATGCAATGTCACCCTTCGTCAACCAGCAATGTCCGGTGGCACAATAACATATGAGGTCTGTGGAACTTTGTATATGGACACACCTATGGTGTCTCTGTGTCCTATTTTTTATCCCATTGATGATGCATTGATATTCTTTTTATCTCAAAAATCTATATATATCGTCAGGAGAGGTTCAAAAATGTGATAGATGTTCTACTTAATGTTCGTATAGATGTAAGATATCTTTAGAGAAATTCATAATGTATTTGCTTATTAATCTTTGCACATATGTGAAGGCTTTAGGATCTGAGGATTCTATTAATTGTTAACACGAATTTCATTTATTTGTAAAGGGGGTTTTGCAAATGTAATGCATCTTTCTCATGTGATCTACATGCAATTTACCTCTTATCTCCCGTTTTACCAACATCCTTCGAGCTTTCTTCTCGTATGAGAACTAATTTAATAGAACATTGCCTATTATTGGTGCTATCTTTATCGAATTTACATAGTGGCTAAATGATTTTAATAAATTGACGGTGAATTCGATGACAGAAGCAATATTAAATTTTTTTTGTTATGACTAAAACATATCCGTGTCTTTGCTTTCTTTTGCTTACTTTCTGCCACTTCTTTCATGAGGCTGAGGCTCTCCATTGTCTTTTCTTTGTTCACCTCATCTTTTGTTTTAGTTTAAGAAATTGTTGCATGAGACTGCTAATTGTCCAGCAAATTTTTAAATCGTATGATTGTCTCGATGTGTTGTCTCTAGTAATATTGGTTGCTTTATTTGGTTAAAATAATAATATTTTCCATACATTTTAACCCTTGAACTTTCACTCATTTATAACAATAGTAAGCCATGTGATATTTCCAATAAATTTGGAGTCGCTTATATTTATTGTTGCACATAATTCCACTGGGTGGAGCTAACTCTTCCTAAAGTTTTCAGGATATCCTAATTACTGGAGGACATGTTAGTATTGGTCTACCTTTTTTTCTAACCTATAATAAGATTCTCACTTTTACCATGTTTATGTTCATGGGTATTTTGTCTCTTATATATATTAATGGATATTTGGTTCAATAGATGTTGTTGACGTGGTAGGTATCTTTTGATCAAACAGAATTCCATTATCTGTTTGCATATAGGTATATTGCCTTTAGTTCCTGTGCACAACATTGTTAATGAAGATGGATGGCGGAAGTCTGTTTGACATGGCAATTGATGCCTAGAATGTGCGAAGATTTTTGAGTTAGCACCTTGGAGGAAAAAAGGGGTGCGATTGGAATTTGAGTTGCCCCTATTATTGCTAGGTGATTAGCACGCACAAGTAACCATTGCCTTTTGCAATAAAACCTGAAGGCACAGAGACTTCTAGTCCTTAGATATTTCTTGATACATAGTAGATCACATTCCATGAATCGGAGTGGTGGGGAATTTGCAATGAAATACAAAATAAGCTATAGACGCCTAAAAACGGCTGTGGTTAGCTGTACGATGTTCTGGATGTTCCAAAATCGCTATCCATTGATTAGCTATTAAGATATTTCTAGATGGATGTTTAGAATTCAAGTTAACTGTGGATTCAAATTCCACAATCCGAGCTTGTGTATTGCTTTGTGATGGCATGTCAACCTGGCCCTTGTTATGTTTTAGCATGCTGATGTTCTATTGTAAGAGATATCTGCATCAAATCTTTTGTCAATAGTTAATGATAGGGCGTATCATTCCATCTTTAACTGGTCTCTTTACTAACACTAAGATATGTTTGAGTTTGTTGTTGTAGCTTGTGCATAACAGTGCATTTCTTCATTTGCAGGGTCGATTTGAAATCATCTCTTTGTCAGGTTCCTTCTTCCGGTCGGAGAGTAATGGTGACTGCAGCCGAACTGGTGGTCTGAGTGTCTCACTGGCTGGGTCAGATGGTAAAGTTTTGGGTGGTGGAGTTGCAGGAATGCTTAAAGCAGCATCACCAGTACAGGTTCAGTTTCAACCCTCTCTCTCTCTCTCTCTCTCTCTCTCTCTCTGTGCATGTGTATATCTGCGTTGCACTATCAAACTGTGCCTTTCCTACCAGATTGTGGTGGGCAGCTTCATTGCAGATGGGAAGAAACCGAAGTCTGGGCCGTCTTTGGCTACACCTGTGCATCTGTTGAACTCCCGAGCTCCAGCAATAGGGGCCGGTCCTTCCTCAAGTGCTTCAAGTGATTCTTCTGAGGAGAATGATGGTGGTTCTCTCAATCGTGGCTCAGAACCTTACAGTGGACACCAAATTCCGACTATGCCAATGTATTCGAACATGGCTTGGCCGAATTCCACTATCAAAATGTTTCCTAACTAACCTCACTTTCCCTCGAATATTTCCTTCATAGGTTCAAGGTTAAAGAGGTTCGTTCCCAATGCTAATAGGCAGAATTCTTCCGTTATTTGAGTCAAATTTTTCCGTCATAATGTCATTTTATTCTCTTCAGCTCTTTATTACTATTAGGAGATCAAGATGTTTTCTTGCTGATTCAAATATGGCTAATTTACTGCAAGCTAATGCATGTTTCTGGCCTTCATTCTTGGTATTTACATCGTAAGAAAGCTCTCACTAATCACCATGCATGACCTACATTTGATGCATTCCTGTGCCTTTCACTATGAAGCTCGAGAATGCAGACTTGCATTGGTATGTCGTCATGAAATCTTAGCACCATTTGATCTGTCTTGAATCCTCTGTAACAAGTTGCCAATGTTCTCGAATGTAACTACCCTTTTTTCAAAACTACGTTGTTTCTTATCAGTGCCGTCCAGTTCGATCAGAATACAAAACTGAAGTAAATCGAAAAAACAGATATTTCTATCTTTTTATTTGTATGGATTATTAAGCTTGTTATTGATGATCAACTAGTCACCATCTTAGTTGATCACGAAGAAGTGGATTCAAAACTGGTAAAAGTTGTGGAGAGTCAGGATTACAGTATCACGTCAATAGACTATCTTTGTTGGTATTGTTCTATACTCTTGTCGGTCAAGAATGAGCCAGTGTACATTTGATGCATTCCTGTGCCTTTCACTATGAAGCTCGAGAATGCAGACTTGCATTGGTATGTCGTCATGAAATCTTAGCACTATTTGATCTGTCTTGAATCCTCTGTAACAAGTTGCCAATGTTCTCGAATGTAACTACCCTTTTTTCAAAACTACGTTGTTTCTTATCAGCGCCGTCCAGTTCGATCAGAATACAAAACTGAAGTAAATCGAAAAAACAGATATTTCTATCTTTTTATTTGTATGGATTATTAAGCTTGTTATTGATGATCAACTAGTCACCATCTTAGTTGATCACGAAGAAGTGGATTCAAAACTGGTAAAAGTTGTGGAGAGTCAGGATTACAGTATCACGTCAATAGACTATCTTTGTTGGTATTGTTCTATACTCTTGTCGGTCAAGAATGAGCCAGTGTGAACGAGTTATTCTTTTCTACGTATTGTACGATTTAAATTTTGTACATATTATTGAAGCGACAACAAACAAGACAGTAAAAGTGATATTTTGCATCACTTTCATCCAAGATAAGGGTAAATGGTTGACCGATCAAACGGTCGATATGTATATAGTGCAACTTATATACAAAGTTCGACAATAAACAACTCGATGGAAGCTCAGACCACATTTTCTCAAATTTCAATTATACACAATTATATATTTAAAAGCATTCAGGCTTAAATTGTGATGGGACATGTGTGGATACATGATTGAATAGTTTGAAAAATATTTTTATTTGTATGGATTATTAAGCTTGTTATTGATGATCAACTAGTCACCATCTTAGTTGATCACGAAGAAGTGGATTCAAAATTGGTAAAAGTTGTGGAGAGTCGGGATTACAGTATCATGTCAATAAGTAATCTTTGTTGGTATTGTTCTATACTCTTATCGATCAAGAATGAGCCAGTGTGAACGAGTTATTCTTTTCTACGTATTGTACGATTTAAATTTTGTACATATTATTGAAGCGACAACAAACAAGACAGTAAAAGTGATATTTTGCATCACTTTCATCCAAGATAAGGGTAAATGGTTGACCGATCAAACGGTCGATATGTATATAGTGCAACTTATATACAAAGTTCGACAATAAACAACTCGATGGAAGCTCAGACCACATTTTCTCAAATTTCAATTATACACAATTATATATTTAAAAGAGCAATCATGTTACACATTCAGGCTTAAATTGTGATGGGACATGTGTGGATACATGATTGAATAGTTTGAAAAATTAAAATAAAAATACTAAATCATTTTTTAAAACAACGGTCTGTCTCTTCACTCACTTATATTTAAGCCTGGATGAGTGGTTTTAATCTTGGAAGAGTCACTATTAGCTTCTGACACATTTTTAATAAATGGAAATTGCGCTACTCACCCTAATTGTAGTAAATATTTAAAAAATACTATGTAATCTTTTTATTTCAATAAATACTGTATTTTGTTAGTAAAAAGAAAACATTGAAAATTTCTAAATTAAAAGAATATTAGATTAGATAACATATTTTACTCCTACAAACACGTCTTTACATCTAATACATTTTGATTCCTACAAATGCGCCCGTATCAAATGGTACGTGTAGCCTAAATCTGTTCGTGCCGTTTATTACAAATACGTTTACATGATCCATGACTGTATTATACATATTAGATGAAAATTATTCAAAATCAGATATCATATAATCATGTCAGGCTAAATGGATTTATAATATCTTCTAGGTATCTAAAACATGCATATAGTATTGGTCAATATATAGGAGAAACATATCAAAAATTAAAACATACGTCAGCACATTCTAGCATCAGGGATTTCGAACCATGTATTCGGATTTTATAGGTTTCTCGAGTCGTGTAGTACCAGACATTGAGACATATCACAAGAGCAATGTATGACACAAGCTCTAAAATCTATCGCCAGGCTTGCGTAATGTTTAGAATAATTTCAAGGAATCTTTTTCTTTTGTTTTCTTTCACTGATTCAAGTAAATTTGTGTATAAAAACAAATCCCCAGTTTCTTATTTTTTCAAAATGTATGAGTGAGATATAAACTAGATGAAAAACATATCCCAAATCTGAGACATCATCATAAATATAGTGATTCGGAGTGTGAAATATTTGCTTCGAAAGGGAGATTTTTGGTTGTAGATACGACGATTTCTATGATCCCGTTGAGTGCAACAATCACGGTGTGGTCAATCAAGAAAGCCTTTCTTCATCTTCAACCAAGTCAGAATTTTGAATTGTTTTCTTTTTTAGGAAGAGATGTTAAATGGGAGACATGAATGATAGAGTATTAAAACATTTCAATTACAAGATAGTATTGTATTATTGATTTGATTTTCCTTTTTTTGGGTTCTATTATTGGAAAACGGTAATTTTTAGCCCTTGTTTGATTCCCATTTTTTTTTTCAAAATGTATTTTTCTCTTATTTTTAACCACACATTTTTCAATAAAATAATATTATATGCATACCCAAAAATTTTCTTTTATTTTTTTTAACCACACATTTTTTATCAATTTACTATTCCAAAATTCATTCTCGAAAAATGATGTGACTCAAACAGACCCTTAATATATTTCTTAATCAAGATATTATTTTTGGTATTTTAAATGTTACCTAGTAAAACCTGAAATAATATTTTCAAATGATGCATTTACGAATTTTCCCGTTTTAATAACTCAATTTTCTTGTTAAAGTTAGTTGGATAAGTGTTCGGCCATATTCCTTCGTACTAATTAGATGTTGATCCAGACAATTTTAAGTCAGTTTATAATTTTTTACCAATGTTTTAAAAAGCACGTCAGTTGTGAAAGTGGACAAAATGTTTTGCCTTGATAGTAAGTACAAATTAAACTTTACGCTTAATGCATGCCTAGACGTTCCTAGGCATGTTTTATTAATTATTTTTTACTTTTTTCTTTAAAACATTTTGTTTGACTTTATTTCATTGACTTTTTTTTTTTTGCTTTTTTTTAAAAGACTTTTATTTTAAATTTTTAAATGACTTTATCTGTACAAAATTAAAAAATGACTTTATCCTATAAAAATTTAGATAAAATTTAAGTTACAATACTATCTATATTATATTATCATATAGTTGAAAGTATGAAATTTCTATAAATCAGTTACATATAGTTCAAACTAATAAAATGTATATAACTTTTACAATTCAAGAACTTAAAAATTGTATAATTGACAGATTGTAAGAATTATTAAGTAAATATAATATTTTATAATTTTATATTTTTAGTATGGATTATTTTAATTATTAAATAATTTGAGAATGATTAAATATTAAAAAAATAATAATAATAAGTAACACTTTTTTATGCCTCGACCTAACTTAGGCTTGTCTAGGGTCATAAAACTTGAAGCTTGACCTATGCTTATTCACACTTTACTTTTTTAAAACATTGTTTTTTTCCTTACAAATATTAAAAAATAAAAAAACTTGTACACTATAATCAGAAAACGAAACATGAAGCACCAAGGAACGAGCAAATTACTCATTTGTTAATGAGATTTCATCATTAGCCCCGAACTGCTAACAAAGGTCATCAGGCCACAAAATCCATCGTAGGGCTGGCAACGGTTCGATTTGAAATCGGTTCGACCAAAACCATCGCCGAATCAACAATTTTTTTTCCATACCATAACCGCATTATAACTAAGTAAGTTGGTTCGGTTCGGACGGTTAATAACCTCGAAAATAAATTATTTTTTATATGTCCAGCTGTCAAATTGAAAAAAAAACAATTTATAAAAAAAAAATCAATGAAAACAAAAACACAATTCTAAGCCAATTTAACAAACAATATCCCAATTCACAAATGCAAAATCCGAATTTAACATACAATTTCCATATATGTTTTTAATATTTGTGTAATAGGGTGTATGGTTACTGGTTTAGGTTAATTGGACTTAAAGTGTCGGTAATGTGCCAGAATTTTAGACTGTATAGAATCATAGAAAGAATAATAGAAAGTCCAATTGTCCAATTATTATTATCATTTTTTTTAACGGGTAATCAGTTTGAAGCGAGACAAAGACATAAATATCATACCCGTCCCACCCCGAACCGGGGTATTAAAATCAAATGTTATATCCATCCCATTGCGCTATCGAATTGATTTTTTTGGTCCCATTCGCTCGATTAACCGCGATTTTCGATTTTGACAATTCAAATTGTCATCCTTAATCCATCCACAAGCATCATTTCTTATTGGTCTTAATAATAATAGTCTATACTTTCTTGTACATGACAATTGCAAAAAAATATGACAGAAGAAATGTGAGCTATAGTCGTATCCATATTACATACCATAAATAATAACTCAAATTACTATTAAATTTTGTAATAGATACTCACTTTTCAACATATTTTGTGAGATCAACAAATATTACCCCTACTTAACCACCATTAATTCCCATAGGTCTATAATGAACACTTGCTAAAAATGAATATATCGATAGCTATAGAAAATGAAAATAAAGCTCATTATAATTAAAAAGCTTATGTATTAATTATGAGAAAAAAGAAACTGGAAGGGACATCAATTCTCCAAGGTGATATAGCATCAATGAAAATTTCAGATGCAAATTACCCATTTGTTAATATGAGATTCATGATTTGTCCCCAGGTAGATTACGGGCAACTTACAAAAATGCCTTTAAAATTAAGGTGTTTAGAAAAATCATAAGAAAAATTATTTGGATGTAAAAAATACTGTATAAAATTAAAAAGTGACACAATGTCACTTTTTTCACAATTCAAAAAAAAAAAAAAAAAAAAAAAAAAAGCAAAAAC